TCAGTGGGGAGGCCTGGCAGCAGGAGCATTTGGGTAGGGCGAGCCACACCCAGAGGGGCCATGAACGCTCCAAGGGGGCCCCCGCCCGCTCGGTTAAGGGGAGCTGACCTGTCGTACCTCTGCAGGTAAGGATCATATCTTTTCCCTCCTCTAGCTGCAGTACATGTTTGGCCGGATAATTCTTATTTTTTGTTAATAATTGGATAATAAATACAGTTGTTGTGTGCCTTATATGATTTATATTTGTTTCATTGAATGTCCTTTGGTTATAGATAGTAAGAAAATGCCTAAGATACACTCAGGTAGATTTAAGCTTTGCTCATTTGCACTGACTTAAATTTCCATGGATGCTGCACTCTGCAGGCCATGCGTACAGCCAGACAGCTGTTCACTGCCCAGCTCCAGGGGATGCCATGCCACGTACACAGGTTGTGGTGGGAATGTCGTCATCTAGAGCTGAGTAGCGTGGCAGCTTTGTGCCACCAGTGGAGCACGTACAAAGGGATTTTTCCATTATTTCTAGTTTGCCCTTTTCCTCAGACTTGGGTTGTGGTTTTGGGAAGAATGAGCAGTAACAGGCATATTTTTGCCTGTATTTTATTTAAAAAATAAGCATCTAAAATCATAGGTGACATCTGATTTTTCTATTTCCCAAATAGAGCTGTTTCTTTTGTTGGGTATACTGAATTAGTTTTGCCAAGAGGAACTGATAGGTTTTGAAAAGAGCACCTCTCAGGTTTTTTTCTTAGCATTTTTTCCTTGGTTTCTGGCTCCTTTTCTTTTAATCAGAAAGCGCCTGCCCTGGTGCTTGGCGACATCATTCAGTTTTTCGTGTTGAAATGATGCTCTTGCTAGCCTTCTGTCCCTCTGTCTTAGCGTCTTCTAAGAAGTCATTTTTTCTCTTGTTAGGTAGAAGATCCTTCGTTCTGACATGACATCTTCCAGTTCAGTAGTTACATAATTAGTATTGTAACATTTTTAGGGTTCATGGAAATGAAACCTCTCCTCACTCTCTGATTAAGACTCAGCTTGATTCCTTTGCAACTCAAGGCAGTAATTTCTCAGAATGCTTTTAAGCACCACCGGCATCCATGCCATGGGTGTTTCCTTAAAAGCAGATTTCTGTCCTCACCAGGCACGTACTGACTTGGACTCTCTGGGAGCAAGGCTTGAAAAGGAGCATTTCTAACAAGCTCACCAGGTGGTTTTTATGCACACTCAAGTTTGAAACCCACTGCCTTACTAAGACCTTCACAACTTTGTCACCCATGCCAAGTGCCTTACTTTGCTAGAAAGTGTCTGAGACCATTGAATATGCATCCTTTCTGGGTTTCTGATTACCTGAGAACATGATGAGTAAAGCTCTCGTGAGCATGTGAACTTCAACGTTCGGTCTGCCTTTATTTTTCTCCAGTCCCTTGATTATGCCTAAAGATGAGGTTGTTCAGATTATATTTGTACTCTTCAAAAATAAAAATCTGCTTTCATAACAATCTCTTATACAAACAAGGAGGCAACTGTGTCCTGATAGTGAAGGATAAGCAAGAGTTGTTAAATGAAAATGCTGGGTGCCGCACAGTGCTTATCATAGGCATTTATGCAAAAAAGGGAAGGGAGAAAAATACACATATACATACACGCACTTGCTTGTATATAATAAAACATCTCCGGGGTGGTACACAAGAAGCTGATACAGGTAACAGGTGAATGTGGAGTGAGAAGGCTTTTCACTTTGTGTCCTTTTGTACCTTTTGAATTTTGAATTCTGTGAATGCATTTTAAAAATACCAGTTAAGGGGCTTCCCTGGTGGCGCAGTGGTTGAGAGTCCGCCTGCCGATGCAGGGGACGCGGGTTCGTGCCCCAGTCTGGGAAGATCCCACATGCCTCGGAGCGGCTGGGTCCGTGAGCCATGGCCACTGAGCCTGCGCGTCCGGAGCCTGTGCTCTGCAACAGGAGAGGCCACTTAGTGAGAGGCCCGCATACCGCAAAAAAAATAAATAAATAAAAAGTAAATAAAAATACCAGTTAAAATAGAAATACACCGTTATAAAAGGTTCATGGATTAGCAGGTTCGTCCTACTTAATTTTGATCACACCATTCATTCACTCAACAATTATTTATTGGCCTCTACAATATACCAGGAACCACTCATTGGTGCAGAGCTCATGGATTGCACGTTCTAGTTAGAGAAATGAGCAATAACATGATAAATGAGTAAATATATATACATACATGTTAAATAATAAGAGAAAAAGCCACGGGGGAGGGGAGGGTTGCCACCTTTGATAGGCTTCGGCAGGTCTCCTCAAGAAGCCTTTGACTATCTGATGAGCATTTTTGTTTAAATGAAGTTTGCAAATGGAAGATTTATAGATCTACCAGGCTTTGCCTATAGGAAACCTTTTGTTCTGTATCTAATTTCATAGACTCAGCCTGTTGGCGTCACATGCTTGCAGCTAGGCCTGTTTTGTGATGTGTTTTTGACATATATGAAAATCTTCCTTTAGTTTCTTGGTGGCTTTTGTTTTCTGTTTTAATGTAGGTACGATGCATTTTCTTTTTTATCTTCACTTCTATGTCCCCACTGCTTAAACCATGAAATAACTTTCTTAACTCCTTAAAGATTAAGGGGTCCTTGGACAACACGGGGATGAGCTGTGTGGGTCCACTTATACTCAGATTTTTGTCAACAAATACATACTATAGTACTGCCTGGTCCCACTGAAGCCTCGGACGTGGACTTCATGGGGGCGGGGTGAGAAGTGAGGCGCAGGGGTCAGCACCCCAACCCCTGAGTTGTTCAAGGGTCAGCTGTTTGCAGTGCCCTCCACTGATGTCATTCATGGCAGTGGAAAAGAAATGCTTAAATGGTGCTAAAACCCAACTTCCCTGTGCTTTTCAGAAGATTAATATCTTGGTAAACAGCAAAACCTTCTTTAGGCAACCTGATTTTTAAAAATCCTGTATCAGCCATGTCAATTGTCTTTGATATTAAAATTTAATAATGTTTCTAACTTAAATCCCTTTTGGAATTTATGCTTCCAAGTGTGAAGCTTTGATTTCTTACTTCCTTGATATATAATTGGGCTTCTCTTAACCAGAAAGGTATCGTGTTGATCACAAATCAGAAGGTTTGTTTGACAGATATTTTCCTTTTAGCTCACTCTACTTGAGTTCATTTCCATGCAAGATGAAGGCCCTAAAAACTTTCAGAGTGTTTTGTTTGGCTGACTTTCTCCAATAAACAACTTTTATACAATTTGCAATAGCAGTTTTTTCCACAGAGGTATTAATGTCTCTGGAGTTCTGTTTTCCTGTAGTTTTTTTGTAAAGTATGTATTCATGCCAGTTAAAAGTAACTACCACTCCCATTAAAGTTGCAGGTGTATACACACTTGCATAAAGGACCTAATGTTAATTTATTATCTCAATAAATATTTGGTAGATGGCCACCATGTGCCAGACACGTAGAAGGTGTGTGAGATACTAGTGAGCAGAGGAAGCAAATGTCCCTGGCTGCTGGCAGGTGCATTCTAACCAGGAGAGAGACAGGCAGTGATCTTAGCAAGTGAATTACACCTCTTGGGAGGGTGAGGCATGCTGTGGGGCGGAGCAGAGCAGACAGGGTGAGGGAGGCGTGTGGCAGTCATGAGGGTTAGGGAGGCCGGTGAGAAGTGGCCTTTATTCGAGCAAAGCGTGAAGGAACCATGGAGACGTCCAGGGGAACAGCATTCCGGGTGGAAGGGGCACTGGTACACAGAGGTGGAGGCCAGCAAGCCTGGAGGGATGGTGGGCAAGCTGGACCCTGTGGAGGAGCCCGGGGGGCGTTCGTGTAGAGTCTGAGGATGTTCACAGCTGGCTCTGCAGGCTGCCTAGTGAACTCTGCTCAAAACTTTTATTGTACAAAGTAAGATAGTTTATCCAGGTTTTGAACCCTGACCTCCTTCCTTTGGGGGATTTTTAAAGTCAATTTCCTGAGTGTTAGTCATAAAGATTTTCTAGTTAAAACCTAAGTGAGAAAAGCAGGTTCCATAGCAGAAGAGTAACTGTACTCGTATGAAGTGCCAGTGGGAATGTTGGAGGAAGCCTAAGGACTAAATGAAATGGTAACAACAAATGATACAAGTAATAAGTCATAATGAGTGAAATGATAAGTGAAATAAGTGGATGTGACGAAAAATCTGTTGAAGAATCAGATTTGACTGAAATCACTGCCGTATGTATGTATGTATCTATCTATCCATCCATCTATCAGACCAGTGTTTTATGGTTATCCGTAGCTATAAAAGTAGGAAAGCCATACTTAAAGATCTTTCTATGTGCATATAAAATGAAATAAGTGTATTTCTGAGAGAGAGTTTTAAAACAGGGACTAAGTTTAAAATACCTCTATGAAGGCAGCTTCCCTAGTCGTGGCTTTTCCTCCGGGTCTACTGAGAATTAAAGAAGAAACGAGCGCGTGCTGTGATGCTGTGGCTTCAGGGATTTGGTTGAGCATCTGCGGGGGGCGGCGGCGGGGGCTTAGCCACATAGGCTCCAGGAGAACGAAAATCTCAGGCGGCTGCTGCCCTAAAAGGGCTTTCGGTCTAACTGGGGACACAATAAACAAGCGTAAGGCGGGAGGTGTCTGTAAGCACTACCTATGGCCTTCACAGGAGGGGAGTCGTGGAATGTAGAGGCCGTCCTGAGTGAGCATCCACTTGTTCATTTTGCAGAGTGACTGACCATCTACCAGGTGAAGACACCGTCCAAAGACAGTCCAGACTTTTTCCTCGAGGTCATAAAAATGCCATTCATTGCAGAAGAGCTGAGGAAACGGAGCCAGTCTAGGATCAGGGGGATGAATTGGGTGGACTTAGGGTTTCAGTCTGAGTTTCTGTCACCAGCAGTTATTTTCCTGTTCAGAACTCAGAGTTGTAGGCAAGTTGCCACTGTGTTTCTGGTTTCTGGCAGTTGGGTTCATTTGCTTCACAATACTTTCCTGTTGTTTTTTTGCAGCAAACCAAAGAGAGAGTGAAGCTATTGATACAGCTGGCTGATGGCTTTTGTGAAAAGGGGCATGCCCATGCGGCAGAGATAAAAAAATGTGTCACTGCAGTGGATAAGAGGTACAGAGATTTCTCTCTGCGGATGGAGAAGTACAGGACCTCTTTGGAGAAAGCCCTGGGGATTTCTTCAGATTCCAACAAATCGGTAAATTGCTTTGTGCAAATTGAATAAATGACTGTTTTCTTCTTCGTACTGTTTGTCGATTTAATTAACTGAAGTTCATTGACTCCCTTATTCCACAGAGTAAAAGTCTTCAGCTAGATATCATTCCGGCCAGTATCCCCGGGTCAGAGGTGAAACTCCGCGATGCCGCTCATGAACTTAATGAAGAAAAACGGAAATCTGCCCGCAGGAAAGAGTAAGCTTGTCTTTAAGAACCTGCCAGGATTCATTGAAAAAGTGAAGAAAATGTCACTTGGACAAAGATGCTTACTTCTGTGTGTGCTTTGAAAACAAGCAGTGTTAATACTTTTCATTGCTCTGAATGTGCTTAGTTTTTACAGCAAAAATGCCACTGTGTCCACTGTCCCCTGATGCAGAAACAGTATCTTATTGTTTTGTGCATGCGCCCCCATTTCATATGTGGTTGACAAGTTGTTTTAGTGTCATTTGTCATCAATAGGTCATGAGTAATAATACTAAGGAGAAGCATTTAATAACACAAGTGCAGCTCTTTGGAAGTTGCTAATTAGTAAACTGTACTAAATACTAATAAAGACAAAAGATGCCCTAAACCAGTGGTTCTCAGTCGGGGCCAGCTCTGTCCCCCCGGACGGACATTTGGCAATATGTGGAGACATTTTTGGTTGTCACCCAGTGGGGAGCGGGGAGGGCTACTGGCATCTAGTGGGCGGAACCAGGGATGCTGCGAAACGTTTTATAAGGCACAGGACAGTCCCACAGCAAAGCATCCTCCAGCCCCAAACGTCAGTACTGCCAAGTTGAGAAACCATGACCAGTAGGTACCTTAACAAAATTTTTTCCAGAATGTTTTTTCCTTTGAATTGGTGACTGGATACTGTTAGTTCTTCTATTCTTGCCTTAATTCTCCAGAACATATCACTGACTAGTGCTTTTTCAACCACCTTATTATTTCATAGACCCTAAAAGTAAGTAGTTAAAATAAGCATGTATCCTGACTGTGAACTAAACTAGTTGCTGTCTTTTCCTCTGCTTTAAGGTTCATAATGGCTGAGCTGATTCAAACTGAAAAGGCTTATGTAAGAGACCTCCGGGAGTGTATGGATGTAAGTAAGTTTTTCTGCTTATTTATTTAGATGGAGTATAGTGTCGCTGTTTATTCTTACCTGTTGGCAGTTCTTAAAATAATCACGTTTTGCTGTTATTTTGGAGATTTGAAGTGCGCACGAGCAGCCTTCTATGCACGTTGCTGCACTTCTGTGAAGTTCTAGGCGTGTTGTTGCTCATTACAGAGATGATGCAGCACTAATCCCCTCATTCCATTTACCACATGATGGCCTGGCTGACGTTCTCTCTGTGTAGAATTTTACAGCAGCTTCAGAGAACTGTGCCTACCGATTATCATTGGCAGCTCATGCTCAGTGGTTTAACGAATCTTTGCCGTACCTTGTGGAGTAGATTTTATCCCAAAATTTGAAGCTGGGAATGCATTTAGAGCTGAAAAGTATGGAAACTATTCTCAAGTATTAATAACAACTGAGGTTTTTAAAAAATAGTTCCTCATGTTTTTTTTTTTGCAAAAGGCTGTATTGTTAAGATATATTTCCAATTATACATTAACCCTGGGTACGTATTCACAGAGGTCAGGAGTACCTGTTTCTTGAAGGTGAGGTGTGGATTTTCATCTAACCCTCTCTGTTTCCCTCCCGGCCAGACCTACCTGTGGGAAATGACCAGTGGTGTGGAGGAGATCCCGCCCGGCATTGTGAACAAAGAGCTCGTTATCTTCGGGAACATGCAGGAGATCTATGAGTTTCACAATAAGTGAGTGGCTTTATCTTTGGGGACCTCGTTAGCCACTCTGGAAATCTGTGCTGAAGTTTCGTGACAAATGAAAGTTTCCGATAAATAAGCATAGATTCCAGTGCTTTTGTTGAAATTTGGAGGAAGCCTGCTGCCAGACTTGCTTCACAAGCACAGACATTCTAGAGACTATTTTAGCAGAGACTCAACTTTGTGTTTACTTTTCATAGAAATGAGATCAGGAAAACGGAAAGCTGGTTTCGTAGGGACCCTAACTTCTCTCAGGCCTTTGTCATCAGCTCCTGCGTCAGTTAACTTCTCAAGGTTAAAAGAAAGAACTGCCCTCTGTGGGGCTGCTGGCTGGCGTTTGGTCTTTCCTAATAAGAAGGAGGAAGGAACTGAGGACTGAACAGATGTGTAGTGTGACCAAAATAAAGTGCCCTTTCCACAGGCCATAGGAGGAGCATGGTTTTACTTTCAAGATCAAAAAAAAAGGCAGCAGAAGCTCCACTAGGTGGAGTCTGTGCAGCCCAAATAGCCTGTGGAAAGATGATGCTGGGCCAGAGCTGGCCGTGTCCTCCCCGCTTCCCTGCCCCCGACCCCAGCAAAGATGCTAGAATCTAAACGGGTTCTCTAGGTTGAGTGTTTACCTCCCTAACTTATGTCCTTAGCTACTAAACGTACCACTTTCCCAGAAGTAAGCTACTGTTGAAAGTGTTCAAAGGCTAAACTGGTTAACTCTTTGAAAGTCGCGATAACTTACCCTAGTTCAGAGCACTTGCTCTACATTTTGTACTTGCTCTACAATTAAATTAAAATCTAGAAGTTACAGTTTTCACTGCATTTAATTAAAATGATGAAGTTCAGACATTGTCTGAATTCACGGTATGCTCGGTCTAATTCCCGGCATATCTCACTAGTAAAATGTTTTAAAACACCGTAATCATTTAGTATCGTTTTCTGTCTCTGCAGCATATTCCTCAAAGAGCTGGAAAAATACGAACAGTTACCAGAGGACGTTGGACATTGCTTTGTAACTTGGGTAATGAGACCTCAGCTGCCTGTTCTGTCACAGTTGCTTTGAGGGAAGTTGGAAGGAATACTGTTCAATTCTCAAGTGTCGCCATTTTCTCCTGGTGTCTACAGAGAGAGAAATAGACTTTACCTCAAAGAATTACATTCTCCAGCTAGTTATTAATGTGGAATAAACTTTTTATTGACAGTAGTGATGGTTTGAGATAGAACGTTGAGTTAGTGTGCCAGGCCTCTTCATGGCCCTGGGGATTCACGGGTAATCGTGAGTGCCCAGCCCTGCCTGGGAGGATTGTCCGGTCGGGAGGGAGGGAAGGAGGCAAGTGACCTGGTGATCAGGCCCTGCTCTCTAAGTGTGACACTCACGTTTGCATATAGCATCATGGGAAGAGGGGCCGGCATCCAGCCCCGACTCTCCAGGCCAGGGGAGGACGTGTGTCCTATTAGCAGGATGTGTTTCTTATTTTAATAGCTTTCTTTATAAAGTAGGGTTTCTTAAATTGGGGGCTTGAATTTCATTTATATACACAGCTTCTTTTCTACATAAAAGTATATCATAATTTGATTTATTGTCATTTGAAAGAGATAGTCTAATTTTCTTTTTGTTTATATAGGCAGACAAGTTTCAGATGTATGTCACATATTGCAAAAATAAGCCTGATTCTACTCAGCTGATATTAGAGCATGCAGGATCCTACTTTGATGTAAGTAATAGATCGCTAAAGAAGCTGTGATATCTTCTAAGTTGCATTTCGTGTGCATAAAATGCAGCATGACTCATAACTTTCACCTAATGGATGGCATGATACCATTTTTATCTATCACATTTATAATGGGATATTCTTTTTTTTTTTTCACACTTTACTGGGGTATAATTGCTTTACAGTGGTGTGTTAGTTTATGCTTTATAACAGAGTGAATCAGTTATACATATACATACGTTCCCATATCTCTTCCCTCTTTCATCTCCCTCCCTCCCACCCTCCCTATCCCACCCCTCCAGGCGGTCACAAAGCACCGAGCTGACCTTATAATGGGATATTCTTATATTCTGTTTTTAAAAGATGCTTCTCAAATACTGCAAGCTGTATATCTGTAAAAAATTCAGATTTTAATATATACATGTGTGTATATGTCACTACTTACAATTTATATATAGTCATTAATTTTTTACATGTAATATCATGTAAAAAGTATGGGTATTAACTATTAAGCTTCTTTTCCCCTCTATAAAAAAGTAACTTTGAATCTTTTTCGATCATTTATTTTTCCCATTTCAATTTCATGATGTTATTCACTTCCAGAAGTGGCCTATCAGTACAATTGTACACGTAGCTCTCTAACAGCTCAGACCGTCGGGGGGTTCATTAATTATATTCTCATTGGTGTGAACACAGTTCATCTTTTCTGGGACCGTGCTGCGGGGAGGTTATTTAGTACGAAAGGTGGTGGAGCCTCATGATATAGTATATAGTGTGATTTGGGGGTTTCCAGAACAGAGTCAAATGTGTGCCAAATAAATTTTGATTAAAAGATAAGGTACTTTGGAATTTTACGTATAATTTGGTGCATGAGGCCACGAGGGTATTAGGCTTGTTTCTGTCTTTGTGTTTGTACGTGGCCGAGTGTGATCACCTGCTCTTCGCCGGAAGTCTGGGAAATCGGGATACATTTCAGCTCCTGTCTTTTGAGATGGAGCCCTGCCTGTAGATGCCCCTATCTTAGTGGCCCTTCTCATGGCCAGTGGTTACACATCACTGCCTGGGTGAATATGAAGCCCTGCTCCCAGCCCAGTGAGGCCTTTTCTTTCCGATATTCCACACGACCCTGGGTCTTTGCCATTATGTGGAGCCCAGCACTGTGGCTCTATGCAGTTAGGATTATTGAAGGCCTTATTGACCGTATGGCACATGTGCTGTTTGGAATCAAAAGTCATTAAAAAAAAACCCCATGCCCTAAGGAGGACGCCAAGAGCTAAGATACTGCAAATACAGTAGGTTGGTGTGAAAATGAGAGCAAGCAGGAGAGAGGACTTCCTTATAGCGAGGACGAAGGAAGCCTCCAGTAGGGAGGGTTGTGATGTGGCCTGTGACGAGGGTGCGCACGTGGCCGAAGCTTCAGGAGCTGCAGTGGGAGAGTCTGACTGCCGGGCAGGCGCAGTGATGATGGCACCAGGGGTGGTTGGCTTCCCTGCTTGACCTCTGCACATGGAGGCCTGTAATACAGGGGAAACACTGTGTCTTTAGTATTCAAAGTGATGACCGAGATTTGTTATTTTTATGTTGACCTTATTAAAAGAAGCAATAGTGATTCCTACTTTAGAAAAAGTGGTTTGTGTGTATTCATCGTGGGGGTAAATGAATGTAAATTTTTAGTTCCTGTTATCTGACTTACACAGTGGTGTGTGTGTGTGTGTATGCTTTTTTTAAATTCAGGAGATACAACAGCGGCACGGATTAGCCAATTCCATCTCTTCCTACCTTATTAAACCTGTTCAGCGAATAACGAAGTATCAGCTCCTTTTAAAAGTATGTATGAAGCCTCTTCAGCCTGAAAAATTTTATGCACTGTGCATTATCATTTTGACATTGTTTTATGTATGTAAAGTACCCTGAGTTTTTGAAATAACACCTAGCAAATTAATGTTATTTTATAACTCATTGCCATTTATTGCCCCGACCCATTTGTCAGTGCATCTGGTAAATAATAGTATATTTCTTGATTATGCACCTGAACTTTGTTGACTGACCCTAGTCCCTGACATAAAATGAGAAAGGAAGGAAAAATTGTCAATCCTGGATGACTTAGTACCATTGTTCCCAGTATGACTTGTATCAGACTGACCTCTGCTGTTTCTTGGTTATGAATGATTATAGTTAAAATCACACTTGTAAAAATCAAATAATGATTAGTTCTGACGATAGAATGGTGAAGAAAACTTAGAATTTGTGATAAGAGTTGTTACAGAATTCATTATATATAACTGACGCACATTTTCTTGACTACAAGAAAAATAATTTACAAACTCTATCTCATGGTGTTTACCCCACCGTTTCCTTGGCTGGTGAATGTTATTAAACATTAGAACGTACCCACATCCGTTCATCCCAGTAAGAACATTGCATGAACCCAACTAAGTCCCCAGTTCGGTCCTAACACAGCAATAGGAGATGATCATGTAATTTTTCTAGATATAAAAGAAATACAGAAGATGAAGTTATGAATGCCTGAAACCCTTATTTTTACCCTTTTTGTTAATACAAAAAAATCTAGAAACAGTAAAAAGTGCCTACATTCTTTGGTGAAGGGATACCATTATGGTATTCTTACATTGGAAAAGCTCTCCTGCACTTCCCTATCAGAACCCCATTAAGTGATTTTATGACCACCACGGCAGAAATATGTGGTTGCTATAAACATGAAATAAAAGTCAGGAGGCTAAGTTGTTTATATTCACGTTTGCCCTTTGCTTTCTAATTCTGCAAAGGCAGTTTACCTCTTAGTGTCCTCAGGATTGATGGGTTTTGTTTTTAGCACGTGGTTCTAGTAAAGATCTCTTCCTCGGTGACCTCACATGTAGTCATTCACTGTTAAACCTCTGCTTCAATTTATAAACCTGACTTTATTCTGCCCAGGGGTTCTTCAAGAGAGCAGTCATGAGCTATGCTGAGCTCCCCAGCGAGGAGCGTTTTCTGACAGTGATGTTAGTCTCAGTGCATTGCAGTTTTAAAGCACTTTTTGCCAAGCTGCTCAGAATAATAGGTGCACACCATCTGGCCATGAGAAGAGGGGCCTGTCAGGCAGCTGCCTTGCCCGAAACCATCCAGGGTATGACTGCAGGGCCACGTCCCTCTTGTTGAGCCCCAGGACACAGAAAGCTGTTGTTACTGTCACTGCCTGATAAAAATCATAGATGCGCTGGTGAGAAAATATCTTGGAGCCCACCAGAATGTGAATCTGCTGTCCTGCTGTCACTCCTCTAATGACAGGTGTTCCCCTACGTAGATCTGAAGTGTCATTATGCCCGGGGAGGCGCGCTGCAGTCATTAGAGCTTTCTGAATGTCCCAGCACGGGGAAGAAGCGTTTCCCTGTAGGTGACTGCAGCGATGCTGTTCCCGCTGTGAGACAGGGCAGCTCCAGGGCCGAGGGGACGTCGTGTTCACGGCGCCAGAGGGCTCAGAATCATGCTGGGATCCTGTGCAAGCAGAGCAGTACTAACTGGACTCTGGCTTGACCTTCGGATGTAACCACTAGCCGACTGTGCTTTGCTACACTGCTGAAATATTTCATTTGTCATTTTTGAGGCTCGGTAGTTGACGTGGACACTAACTTCGTTTTAATCTCTGACTGTGTCTGGTTTCCTCTGAACTGAAGAAACGTCCTGATTTGAGCAGGACACACCCTTGCATCCACTGGATTAAGAGGCAGTTCAGTTTTATCATTCGCTCTCTGTGCGAATCTCTGCCCAATTGACCACAGTTTGTTTTTATCTTGCAAGTCATGGATTTTCACAAACTCTTTCATTTCTGCGAAGACCTCCGTAGCGGAGCATTTTGCTCTCCTGGGCTCGTTCACGGTGTCGGTTTCCCACAGGAGCTGCTCACGTGCTGCGAGGAGGGGAAGGGGGAGATTAAGGACGGCCTGGAGGTGATGCTCAGTGTGCCAAAACGGGCCAACGACGCCATGCACCTGAGCATGCTGGAAGGTATGTCCTCCCGCCTCCTGCTGACGCCACCTGTCCACCCCCCCCCCCCCGCGTCCTTGTGCCTCTGTGTTTAGTTAGGAGTCATCAGTGCAGGTGCAGGTGCCTTCTTTTTGCAATAATTGGTCTCGTTGCTTCCCTTAAGGAGTACATGACATGCTTCGACCTCATCACAAGCCTGTCCTTGTCCCCTCACTGGAGAGCAGCCGCTCCACACTCTGAACCCTGGGAGCACCTTGAGTCACTTGCCTTCAGCTACCTGGTCTCTGTGTTAGAAGGACAGGTGGAAGGATAGGTAGATCCATCCCCCAAGATTGTAAAATCCCTAACAGCGCTCGAATCTTCCCCATCTCTGGTATCACTTGTCAGAGCCTTGAACCAAGCAGGTTCCACATCCCTGCCCGTGCAGCCAAACAGCGCGTGGAACGTGGCAAAAAGAGAATCAGATAAATACGCCTAAAAATGGTCATCGCCAGTATAATTTCCATGAATGCTTCTGTTTAAGAAAGCTATTTCTGTGTTTCAGCTCAACTCTCATTATCAGGTTACGCAGAGTTATTTTAAGAAGTAATCCTGCCCCAAACGCTTTGGCCAGCCTGTGTGGTCACCATTGGTCCCATTGAATAGTTTCCCAGTTAGGGCAGAGGTGCCGCTGTTTGTTAGTTACAGAGACCCCCCCCCCCCCACCTCAGAGGCCAAGCCAGAGCACCTTTTCCCCCTCTGATGTAAAATCCCGAGCTGGTGGGCAGCCCTCAGGGCGTCACCGGGGACTCAGGCTCTGTCCAGCTGGTCTCTCTCCACTCCTTGGATGTTTTGCTGGTTGGCCAGCTGCAGGGTGTGTCAAGGCCACGTTAGCCTTCCATCTAGCAGGATGTGGGGAAAGAGCGGGGAGGGGACAGCTCGAAGGGCAGAAACCAGAAGTTGTGCCCGAGTCTCCCTGCGTGGCCCGGGCGTAGGTGAGCGTGCTTGTGGCTGCTCCTGGCCGCACGGGGGGCTGGGAAGTGTAGTGCTGGCTTGAGCGGCCACGGAGGGGCTTCTGCTCGTAGAGGACGGGGCCCCTGGAGGCTGGCACGTAACTAGAAGCCCCTGCCCGGGTGTCGGCCACTTCAGGAAGAGACAGCCGCAGTGAACGGCAGCCAGTGACCAGAGCGCGACCGACTGGCTTGAAGAGCTTCGTGTCCAGAGGAGAGAAAACCCCCCAAGGAAGGGTAGCCAGAGGCCCAGATGGGAAACTTTAATCAGAGATTGAGTGGATGGGCGTTTTGCAAATGTTTAAGTAGCCATGATGCTACTACTGCATCATTTTTCATTTTCTTTCAAATTGACCGTGCCTCCTTTTTTTCGTGTTCTAGGGTTTGATGAAAACATTGAGTCTCAGGGAGAACTCATCCTGCAGGAATCCTTCCAAGTGTGGGACCCCAAAACCTTAATTCGAAAGGGTCGAGAACGGCACCTCTTCCTTTTTGAAATGTCCTTAGTGTTTAGTAAAGAAGTGAAAGATTCCAGTGGCAGAAGCAAGTACCTTTATAAAAGCAAATTGTTTGTAAGTATAGGCCTTCAGAATTGTAAGTTTAAAGGTGACACAGTTGCAGCTTCTTGTGGTCAGAGAAAAATTACTGTTTGTGCCCTTCAGTTTAACCTCCAAACTCCTAAAGTGTGACTCTGAAGCAGCTTCTTCAGTGAAATTCTGACAGCCTTGAGTCCACTGGAGGGCGCTTGTGAGTTTGAGTGTCCCTAGACCTAGGAAACTTGCTTTTTCTAAATTCCGTAGAATCCAACTGCAGCATAAGAAGACACTTCGTAAGTGAACTTAAATTATTTATCTCCTGTGTGCCTTAACTAGCTTTATAAATCAATCAGTCATGTTAGACTATAATTAAGTAAGCTCTCATCTCATTATAATTAATATTTCATTCACCGACATTGGAATTTATTGAAGCAGCCTACTGGGTGGCTAACTGTGGGCTCTTAATGATGAAGTTTGATTTTTTCATTAAAAATACATTTATGAAAAACAGCAGCAGAATACCATTATGAGAGAAAATGTATGTTATAAGCAGAAGTCGTTTTAAAGGTACCCAGCCCCACCTGCCTAGAGACAGCCTCCCTTGAGCGCTTGGTAGATAGAGTGATGCCTCTGAATTCTTCTTTAACTTGCCGGCGTACTTCCGGGCAAGAGAAACACACCTGGTGCTCTTTTGCATGGGTGGCAGCCCCACACGAGTATCTATAAACCACAGGTCGACGCTCCGAAAAGTCTCGGGCGGGTGTCATCCTCGCCTTCCCTGCGTGGGCGATATCTCAGAGGGCTTTCAACACAAAGTTGCTGGGCAGTGGGAGGAAAAAATCACAGTCAGAGAATAGAAAATGGGGTAGAATTTGGTTTCTTCACAGGATATGGCAGATCACTTATAAATATTGGTAGATGTTTGGACTTTGGACAACTTATACATTATACATTTTTATGGTATCCACGTATTAATCAAATTCCCGAAGTAATAGAATACTACCAAGTGTAGAAGTCATCTTAAGAATAATCTGGAGTTTGCAAGTTCAGGCTAACGATAGGCATACCATTTTCTTTGGCTTCTTTCCTGTTTGAGATTGTCTTTTGGATCACAGCCCACCTTACATCATTTTAGATCATATTGTAACTGGAAAGAAAACATGAAGCATTGCTGCCTAATAATTTCACTAGCTGGCCTTAATCAGTCCCTAGGGACCAAGCTAGTCTGTTTTAGAAGCTGATACATCTTCACTTAATTTATCTTTTAAAAGTTAAGGTTCCCTCAGAGGCCACAATTATGAATCACTTCCTTTGCTGGAAAGGAGAGAATGCATTGGGGTGAACCTGATTGCGGGGGAGGATGAAGACGTTGACCTTCATCTACACTCTTCCGTGTTCTGCATCTCCTGCAAATGCATGTATTATAGAGAGAAAGTTTGTCTCTTAGCCCCCTTAACATTATTGGCGAAATAGCAAACATTAATGCTATTGATAAACACAGTGGAAACGAACTGCGTTTTAAAATATCATTTAGCTTCTCCTGTGAAGCTAGTTCGTTAATGAAGGTGCGTGGTAGCAGCTCTTTTGCAACTAGGACAGACTCATTTTATTGTTTATAAGGTTGAAAATAGTCAGCTCTTGATTTTCCAGATAATAGGAGATAGAACTTTCCAGATATTTTGTTTTCTTCTTCTGGATTTGCTTGTTGACCTGCATCAGGATTTCCAGTGGAGGTGCTCAGAGGAAGCGAAAGAGATGAAGCCAATCATGTGTAATCTAAGAACAAAATTTCCTCATTTTAACTAAAGTGAGGTCTAAGGAGTATGTATCAGTGTAAACAAAACCGTGTCATTACAACCTAGCATGAGCACAAGTCACCAAAAACGGTTTCCTTTGTCTCTGTTCTATATCCTGCCAGAATTTTACTGTTGCCTAATTATGTAATTGTCTTTTTATCCAGACCTCAGAGTTGGGTGTCACAGAACACGTTGAAGGAGATCCTTGCAAATTTGCACTGTGGGTGGGGAGGACGCCAACTTCAGATAATAAAATTGTCCTTAAGGTACGTCCATCCGAAGCTTGGGAATGTGCTTTGCGACCAGATTACCATGTCTGTGAGTGCTTTTTCCTGTTGTTGAGCCATATTGGTTTTCATGTCCTTTTATTGTTCCCTTTGTGTTCTGTAGAGATTGGGGATTACCACAAAAAGAACAGTAGGATAAATTCAGTTTGGTATTCTAGTGGTGAAATTACTCGAGCTAAATTTTTGCTTGCCTACAAAAGGTCACTTGGAGAAAGGTCTTCCTAAACTTCTCCATTCTTCCAGCCTTGCAAAGAATTGGGTGATTCCATAAGAGATGCAAGAAGTTGAGGTACAGGAGGAGGGAGATATGGACCAGGAGCTCCCATTGTGCACTTGACCTCTGGTTTCCAAAGGAGAATAGACACTTGATGAATCTGTGAGGGCCTTTGACAGTTTCAAGGCTGAACGTGCCAGGAGTCTTCATGGGGTCCTAAGAGTCTTTGGCTTTCCAGTTCGGAGGCAGAGAAAAAAAGTGGCGGGGTGGGGGGGGCGGTCATGATCAGGTATAGGGTTTGGTAGTGTTATCGTTTAAAGTGTTTAAAAACACTAAGGGTGCTTTGGAGTGTGTAGTCTTTGAGGGAGGAATGTATCTTTGAATATTTAATTTGAATGCTGTTTTGAGTGTACTAACCTCTCCTAGGAAAGTTGGAGGGCTCTAAGGGTGTCTTGTGGACTTCCCTCCTCCTGTGTTTGAGAAAATGCAGATGGAACTGTCTTCCTGAGCTATCTGGAAAGACCATAAGCGACTTCAGATGTAGCTGAAGATTTGTAGAATATTGGGAGACGAGCCAAAGGCTTAATGGGCCTCTGGTGTGTGGACTTGCATGTCAGCAATTTTGTCCCTTACATTCTTTTTGCATCTCTCTACGGTATTTCCAGCAACTGTGAGTTATTTAACAGTACAGCGCTCTTGTAGAGCCTGTACTTTAGTGACCGCTGACTGTGGAAGCCATTGTGTTCCTAAGGTCTTTATTCACATGGAAATGATGGATTGTTTTGCAATGAATGTATGACTACCAACCCAGTGTATTCTCGTTAGTACTGGCGTAAAGCCCTATAAAATATAAGTTGCACTGATAGCTCAATATTAGATAGCTGAACTTTTCTAAGGGATAAAGTTTTAAAGTATACTCAAGACCTTAAAACTTCCAACTCATGAGTATTTATCCAGATTAGCTGCAGTGACACATGCCAAAGGGTACATCTGAGAAATAGTGCCAGGTATTCTAGCCAGATATGGACTACTTTCATTTAGGACATAATAAAATACTCATGATGCAGTTGAAGAATCAGATTTCCTTGCAGGCTTTACCAAATGAAAGTTTTCTAGGGAATTGAGGGTAATATTTTTCTGACTTCTAATGAGAGGCTAAAGGAAATGCTGTCCTTATTAATTTCAGAGACTGCTTAGCGGTGGTGGTGGCGGTGGTGATGGCGTAGATGGTGGTGGAGGTGGAGGTGGTGGATATCTTAGCAGTGGTGATGGTGGTTATGGTATAGGTGGTGGTGAGGGTGTCGGTGGTAGAGATGGTGAGGGTGTCAGTGGTAGAGATGGTGAGGGTGTTGATGGTGGTAGAGATGGTGAGGGTGGAGGTGGAGGTGGAGTTGGTGGATATTTTAGCAGTGGCAATGGTGGTTATGGTATAGGTGGTGGTGAGGGTATAGACAGTGGTAGAGATGGCAGTGGTGTAGATGGTGTAGACAGTGGCGGTGGTGGCGGTGGTGACAGTAACGGTGGTAATGACAGTGATGGTGGTGGCCTAGTACTTGTAGAACAAAATTGTGACCTGTTTTTACTTTTACCGTCTGGAAAGGAGAATTTTATTTCTAAATCCTTTCTTGAACAGATTGAGACTACTGAGAGCATGAAACAAATTATTCCCTTCTCTTAGCCAAGTGGGGCCTTCGCTTAGTACTCTAGCTGGGTTACCTTTCTTTTACTGTCTCTGAAAAATTGGTGCCTTTATTCCTTGTTGAATTTCTTTAAGGTTAGGAGAATTGCTCTCCATAAAGGTAATGGTCAGTTTGCTCTACTTAAATTTTGAGAATTTTCTTTATTTCTGAACATGGTACATAACAGATCTCCAAACTTTGCCAAATGTCCTTTCTCAGATACTTCGCTTTGTTTAACGTCCCAGATATTTGTCTCAGGCATTTAGATGCCAGTAGCTCTGTGTTGTTCACAGTTGTCCATCCTGAGATGCTGATTTCGTGCACAGATTCCCCTGTTCCCTAGTCACGCTGCCTCCTGCCCCAGGAGACATCGGTTTAACTGCTCTCCTGGCATCAGATCTGGGGAGAGGGACAGGAGGCTCCTTTTCTCCTTCACTTATTTCTCTGTTACTGCCTCTCATTAACTTTGAAGACACACCCTCCAGTGAAAACATTTTATTTAGAAAGAGAGTTCTCAATTTTAATTTCCTTCCCCAGCATGGGCTTTGACCTTGTATTTTCAAAAACAAGGTCCACCACGAGAAAATGCTGGGTTCCCCTCCCTGCGTGATCTCATCCATAATCCCACTGACGATTGTTTTAATCATTCACAGGGAATTATGCTTATATCATAGGAGGTTGATGTTTTCCGTAAGGAAATTAAAAACTGTTACTAAGGCCCAGAACATGTAAAAAAGGGGAAGAAAAAAAAAACCACCTCCTTTGAGGCACAGTGAAAGAAAAAAATCTGGAAAAAGTGATGCCGTATGTGTTCATTCCACCGATGCTTGTTGAGCATCTACGATGTGTCATTTCCAGAGAACCTTTCTCCAGTGTTGCAGTGGAGTTGAGGGAAATCCACCATATGTAACTGGCAGTAGGCTACCCTGGGTTATCCCAGTGGTCTAACCAGAGGTGGATACAGGCAGAGATTGGGGGGATGGGCTGGGGTGTCCACCCCCCGGGAATCCTGGCTTCTTCACCTGCTGGCAGTGTGGCCTTAGGCACATTTCCGGTGTGTCCACACTGCAGGTCCTCATTTATAACAGGAGGATTAGGGAGGCCCCAACTCCACAGAGTGCGGGTGGGGATATGGGGAGTGGACGCAGCTGGGGAAATGGTGCAGCTGCACCAGTTGATCGTGAGTCCAAGGGGGCAAGGTGGCGAGCTCTGGGGCACTGGCCACTTGTCTGCCTAAAGGGCCTCAAGACACTTGGGTTTGGGGGTGGTTGTGTTTTCATATTTACCCAGGGCTGCTTAACAGGTCTTAGGGCTGGAGAATGATTGATTACTAGAATATTCAGAGATCTGGAATAACATGAATGCTATAGAATAAAAACGGTCTTGATGACAGAATATTCAAAATTAGGGTCATTTATTTGGTGGGAAATTAAACACAGGAGATGGTTGCTTTTCTGCTGAAAAGTTATTTTTTAAATGGGCAATTCCAGGAATGCAGGGACCTGAGTGTGGTTAGTGCAGGTTCTGGAAAAGCCCCCTTCTGTATCCTGATTGATTCTAACACTTTGTCAAGGCCTCCAGTATAGAAAACAAGCAGGACTGGATCAAGCATATCCGGGAAGTGATCCAGGAAAGGACCATTCACCTGAAAGGCGCCCTGAAGGAGCCCATTCACATCCCCAAAACAGCTCCGGCAACGAGACAGAAGGGAAGGAGGTCAGTGCCTGGGGATTTTTTTGTAAGTTTGCTTTTATTGAAGGAAAGGAACAAGGCAATGTTAACATACTATTTTTCAAAAATCATTTTTCTCAAATATTTTTGAGAAGTATTGAGGAGTAATTTTTTAAAGAATACAATTTATATATAACATCATTCTTAGTAATGAAATTCCTTTGTCAAGACAACAACCTCCTTCAGCTTAAAGTAAATGAAAGTCTATATGCAAATCCCTAATTCTTTTCCTTTTCCACCCCAAGTGTTATTAATCTGTGCTCCTGTGTAAGTCGTGCATGTGACCTTGGACAGGTTATGTAGCACCTAGACGTTTTTGCTTCTCATTTCTAAAATGGCGCTGACCCTATCAACTGGATTTTTATTGCTGTGAGAACTAAGTGCAGTGGTAGATGTTAGACTCTCAGCCCAGGGCCCAGCAAAAAACCTGTTCTCAGTGAAGAGTCAGTCATGTATCGTCATTAATACCGTGGTGGCAGCCGTAATCAGAGACCGATTTGCACCTCTTTAAACAAATCTGTTCTTCCTCCAATGGCTGATAGCCCATCTTTACCATTCTTGAAAAGCAAATCCAGCAATGTCAGGAATTTCTCTGTGTCTCCAGGGATGGAGAGGATTTGGATAGCCAAGGAGATGGCAGCAGCCAGCCTGATACGATTTCAATCGCATCCCGGACGTCTCAGAACACGCTGGACAGTGATAAGGTGAGCCAGAGCTAGCCCTTTCTTTGGGGAGGTGCATGTGGCCAGTCTCCGGTCAGTCGATAAATGACAGTTTGTCATCAGCATTTCAAACAGCTGCCATGGGTTAAAAGAGGTGCCCGGACGTGGTACCAGGAGCAAAGATTTGCAGTGTCAGGGCTAGCAGACTTGAACCCTGAAGATTCAGGAAAAAGTCACTCGCCCTTTCCAGTGCCGTTACATGGTTTTCTATCCGAGTGTTCTAAGGCAGTGTGTTTAAGCTTTTTTATTTTATATTAAGCAGAAGACCCTATTATTTTAAATTAAGTCTTACACAGAGCCCTGGTGTGTGAAAGCGGGGCGCTCTGATTGAAGCAGGGGCAGCGGCATCTGCCGGTGGGCCCTGAGGCGTCCGTGGACTACCCACCAGGAAGGAGGATCTGATTTGCAGCAAAGAAGTCTGTAGGTTTACCTTCTACAGCAGTGGCCTAGAGTGTCCTGTGATTCTGTCTTGATAGAATCAACTAACCTACAAAATAAACTGATGGGAGAAGTTGGAACCCTGGGCTTACGTGATGCACAGGTGACCAGAGTCCCCTGTAAAAGCCAGTGGAGGCATTGATGTGCACAGAGTCCTCAGTTCCTACTGAGATAAGCACCTATTCTGTTCTTTTTCTAGAAGGCTTAAGACCAAGTTCTTAAAACAAGGTTTTGACAGCAAGTAGGGGTTTCATTGAACTTGCCGTTGGTTCAGAATTCCTGGGTTTCTCAGTGCCTGACACGGGCTGGACTTTCCCACGAGAGACCTTCGTCCCCAGGGGGCTGGAGGAGTCTGCCTTTGCACGATGTCTCCACAGCCCACTCGCTGTCCTGACCTCCCGTCATTTGGAGACGGCTGCTGTCAGAGGAGAGAGCCCAGTGTAGGGGTTTGCTTCAGAGGGCAAGTCTGAGTCCCAGGCTTCGGTCTTTTCTCACTTGCTTTCGCAGAATTCATGGTGTTGAATGTTGTTTCCAGGACAGAAGTGAGTAGGTTTAAAAACATTGGTTTCCTACATTGATTTCATTTTCAGACTTCTAATAGGAGTAATTAGCTCTTTCTCAACCTCCTTTTTGACTTCACTAAATGATGAGTCCTAGAACTTAAATGCTTAGAGTAACAGGACTGGAGAACAAAAACAATGTCTCGTTTGATTTTGTTCGGAGCTCAGTGTATTACGTTCAGAAAATATTTCTCTCCAGTAGTAATAATGAGGAATAAGATAAATGACATGTTCAATCATTTGGTCCCTAATAGCCTCTTTCCCCGAGGCCCCCCCCATAGTCATTCAGTGAAGAAAATAAAGTTTGAACTTGGAAACATTTCATTAGAGTAATCCCAATTATTTTCTTTTAAAAAAGTAGTAATTGAGGTGACTGGGTTATCTTAATAGTTACACAAGACTTCCACCTGAAGGAAAGGTCCAAAGTAATCGTGGCTCCTGCCGAGGGGACCAATTCACAGACTCGCCAAGGCTGAGCATCGCCGCCCCAGCTGGAGGTCCACCAAGCCCCCAAACTCGCAGTCTTACCAGATGTCCTCTCATGGATCTGGTCTGGGTTTACCTGAGTTTAAAAGTTTATTTAAAAAACAGGTTATTTGAATGAAATTGCCAGAGAAAAATAAATATCAAAAGTTCTGTCCTTTGGAAGGGGTGTTAAGATTTTTCTGGTGGTTGGCCCAAGGAGAAAGGGTAGCTTTGCAACCACCCTTGGGTGGTTTATGTATAAATGGGTGGTGGGGGGAGTCTGGAAACGCCCCCTGCATCTGGGAAGGGGCTCCTGGCTCTCCAGCCCCCGGCTCTGAGATGGAGCTGCCTGGTACCAGGTTGTGCCTCTGGCCCACAGAGAACCGTGTGCTAGTGCCCCCGGGCTCCCTGTCCCCCAACACTGGGGGCTGGCAGCTGCGGGGCGCCGACCGGTATTCACAGGGGGTTTGCCCCAGAGATGAGAGGCTCTGCCCTGGAGTTAGGAAGAGGCAACTCGCTCTACTTCGAATCTATTATAGCAAAATAGGCTTATGTGAACTTGGATTTGAGTCTGTACAACTCCTGTAGAAAAATAAGGCATTATCCTAGGAACTGTTGCTTTTAAGACAACACATTGGGCTTCCCTGGTGGCGCAGTGGTTGAGAGTCCGCCTGCCGATGCAGGGGACACGGGTTTTGTGCTCTGGTCTGGGAAGATCCCACATGCCGCGGAGCGGCTGGGCCCGTGAGCCATGGCCGCTGAGCCTGCGCGTCCGGAGCCTGTGCTCTGCAACGGGAGAGGCCTGCATACCGCAAAAAAAAAAAGACAACACATTAGGTACCCAGTGAGAGAGAAGGGAAATTAATCATTTTACACTGGGGAATTAGAATTATTAAAGAACTGCCTCTTAAATATTTTATTTGTGAAGGTAACTCACCAGTTTCTGTTTACCTCATCTCGTACCTTAGGCACCGAACTTCATTCCGTAGCTCAGAAATCCCGCCAGGGCCCCTTCTGCAGGTGCCGCCTTGCCTGTGCTCCCGGGTGAAGCTGTGACAGCAGCCCCTCACTCAGCCGCTCTCAGCCTACCTGATGTTCTCATGACCCTTAACCATCTCGCGTAGTGACATGCCAAAACTGCTTTCTTAAGTGGATGTGGCATGTATTTAATATCCCTCATTGAGGCCATAGGTCCTTAATAGGAAGTACACAAAAAGGGTGAAATGTCTTCCTAAGACCGTAGAATGGCAATGGGTTGTCTTCTTCCGTTCTTGTGTTCTGTATTTGGGAGGAAAATAAGCAGCGTGTGACACTTAATACGGATAAGTCAGAATGTGGAGTTTGGAGGGGCCATACCCATGAGGCCTTATACAAAAGAAGGCCCATGTTTGCGACCACACATATGCCTACACACGTCTGCTCTCTGCTTTGGGGAGGTTTTTCTCCTTTTATGTACTTCTCTGGTAGAACATTTCAGGGTCAGTAGATGATTCAGGAGAATACATTTAAGAAACTGCATCCTTTATGGAGTCAGTTTGTAAAACGCACTGTTACTCTGAACTAGGCTTAAACAGAAAGCCCTGTTATCTCTGATGGCAGTAACTTTTCATATGTCCCAAGGTTCTTTCCACCCTACATATTTCAAGTTTAAATAGCCTCTGATGACATGGGCAGATAGATCTGGCAAGGGAAATTACTTAACCATATTCTGCCCGTCTGACTTAATTTATGATGTCTGTTATGAGTTAGTTGTTATCATGGAGTTTGGTTCCATTTCAGAAACCGGGTGGGGGGATGTTTTCGGCTTGGCCTCTTGGAGAACTCTTGAGGAGAAGTTGTCTGCCCAGTGCTATAGTAACTCTCAGGTGAGGCACAGGGTTTTAGAAGAGTCACGTAAGGAGGGGCCTGGAGACACCCTCTCTCCAGGGACACTGTTAGCAGATACAGACCACAGGGCCCCCGAGCACCTTTCCTTCTTTGCAAACGTCGGTTTTAAAAGCTGCCATCTCCTTGTTCCAGATGTAAGTGTAGCGCTGATTCTTGCCCTTATTAATGGTGCTTGTGCTGATAAAGCGATCTCATGAAAATACAATTTGGGTTCCAAAGAAATCAAATGCTTGCCAGATTCTTGTCTCATTTGTTCTGAGCTTGTCTCCCTGATGTTGGGAGGGGACGCCTCCAGGTCACTGCGGGGACGAGGGAGGCCAGGTGACCCTCGCAGGGCCACCCGGAATAGAGAGCGGAAGCCAGAAATGGAATGTGGATCTAATTACCTGGCGGGGTCTAGACCCTGTTATTTCACACTAGAGCTGAGGAGGAACTAAATATTTTGGCGTATTAAAGGAGCATTTTTAGTACTTTTTCCTTCTGTATGCATTATTAGTCTGTGGTTTGCTTCATATAACAAAAATTTATATTATAAGGAAAATAGAAAATATGCGAATCAGATATAGGCTACTACTATAGAACAAACCATCTTGAGGTCAGGATGAAAAAAATAACCAAGGCCAGACAGGGCAGGCTGTGGAAAAGCGGCCCGAGGCAGCAGGGGGCCAGGTGTGAGCCTTCTCTAGGTCTGAAGCCGAGCTGTGCTTATTTGTAATGAACGAGAAATTCAGCTGAGACTTGATACTTGGCACGAATTTTGCCCCTAAGCTTGTGGTGAGTATATGAATTCACACATTTAAAAAAAAATAAATGGTTTCAGTTATTTTGCATGAAGTATATATAGCACTGTGTTGGGGATATGAAATTTATGTAGTTTAAAAAGTCAATAAACCTCTGTGAAGTGACAGTCTGCACCATAGGAACTTGGATGGATTTACATAAATTGCAGCGCTGAGGTAGTATATAAAGTCATTAATGCCACTACGTTTTAAGATGAGGCTGGCTTCAAGTTTTGGAGAAAGGAAGCCTGCATTCAGCCTACTTAGGAAGTTTCTCGTGCTTGCATTCAGCCCCGTCCCTCACATACCTGGCACTGTGTGCCACCCGCCTAAGCTCACCCTCTCCCCTCTGCCTGCAGCTGCCAGGAGCAGGAGGGAGCCTTGGCTCGAGGCACTGCCCAGCCTGCTGCCCTTGCCAGGGTGTCCCAGAGCCTCGTGTAGGTTTGCCCGCGTGGGCATGAAGTTGAGTCGCTTCGTTCACAAGCCTTTCTGGGGACAGCACATAGTTTTAATCCCGGGACGTCAGTTAAGGGTCCCGACTCCGCCCAGAGGGTAACGGAGTCGAGTAAGCAACGTATTTAGCGTCCAACAGCAGATGGTTAAGAACAAGCAGGTGCTCCCCAGCAGCCTCTCTGTGCCTCGGTTTCCTCATCTGTAACAGGGGACAGTACGACTCCCCCCTCTAGGGCTGTGACCATTAAAAACGTGCATTTGGAACAGTGCCTTACACGCCCTGAGCACTGCCTAGATGTCGACAGTCACTGTGTCTTCGTTTCAAAAATTGCCTCATTCTCCCTCATTACTGGCTGTTGCAGACCCGCTGCACATCGGCCTCTTAGTGAGCACTCCTGCC